CCTCCGGCCTCCAAAGTGCTGGATTACAGGCATGAGCACTGGCACCTGGCCTGAGTATAATATTTTTTAAAATTAGCTTTAAATATTTTTGAGTTAAAATCTCAATATTTCTAAATTATGACTTGTATTTTGCCTATTATTTTTTATTTTATTATTATTATTATTATTATTTTTGGTGAGACAGAGTCTCTCTCTGTCGCCCAGGCTGGAGTGCAGTGGCACAATCTCGGCTCAGTGCAAGCTCTGCCTTCTGGGTTCATGCCATTCTCCTGCCTCAGCCTCCGGAGTAGCTGGGACTATAGGCGCCTGCCACCATTCCCCAGCTAATTTTTTGTATTTTTAGTAGAGACGGGGTTTCACTGTGTTAGCCAGGATGGTCTCGATTTCCTGACCTCGTAATCCACCCACCTCGGCCTCCCAAAGTGCTAGGATTACAGGTGTGAGCCACCACGCCTGGCCACCTATTAATTTTTATAAGCAGTTTGCTTTTAATATTTTAGAAGAAAATAGCTCTTTGAAAACATTTAAAACCAGTTTTAACGTTTTAAATTTTAATACTTTATTTATTGTTTGTTTGTTTGATACAATGTCTTGCTCTGTTGCCCAGGCTAGAGTGCAGTGGAATAATCATAGCTCACTGCAGCCTCAAACTCCTGGGCTCAAGCCATCCTCCCACCTCAGCCTCCCAAGTAGCTAGGACTAGAGGCATGAGTCACCACACCCAGCTAATTTTTAAAAGGTTTTTTTTTCTTTTTGCAGAAACATGGTCTCACTGTGTTGCCCAGGCTGATCTCAAACTCCTGACTTCAAGTGATCCTCTCCTTTAGCCTCCCAAAGTGTTGGGGATTACAGGCATCAGCTACTATGCCCAGCTTTTAATTTACTTTTGAATAAATATGTGAAATTAAATAATTCAAACTTAAAATAATTCAAACTTAAAGCTGTTGGAACTTTATTCTAAGCCTTGAGAGGAGTGTGACTGTGCAGCCTGAGTCACATGGCATGCAGCTGCAAATTTTGCCTTGTTTTTCCTGTAGATAATTAAGACCAAACAGCACGAAAGACCCCCTCAGATCATTACCCCTCCTTTAGAGTAATAGAGTATTCTTTCTCGGAATTTAGCAATCTGTAACCAATCAAATTGCTGTGGCATATGCACTTGTCTTCTGTGAAAAGGGTCTCGCTCTGTCACCCAGGCTGCAGGACAGTGGCAGTCATAGCTCACTGAAGCCTCGAAACTGCTGGGCTTAGGTGATCCTCCCACCTCAGTCTTCTGAGTAGCTAGAACTACAGGCATGCACCACTGTGCCAGGCTAATTGTATTCTTTGTAGAGATGGAGTTTTACAATGTTGCTCAGCCTGTTTTTGAACTCCTGGGCTCATGCAATCTGCAGGCCTCAGCCTTCCAGAGTGCTGAGATTACAGGTGTGAGTCACGCCGCTGCGCCTGGCCAAAGGGAATATTTCAGAAGCTTGGTTTTGGCAGAGAGGGGTAGTGGTTTTCTATTGAACAGTTTAGAGGAGACTCTTGCCGATACTTTAAAATATGGGTTTCACAATCAGACAGATGGACTTAAATCTGATAGGTTTTTTTTTTTTTTTTTGCTATTAATCTTGAGCAAGTTGATTAATCTGCTTAGTCTCAATGTTCTCATCTGTACTTTTTAGGAGAATAATCATGCCCCCATTTTCTATGATTATTGTGAAGATTAATGAAGTGTCATTTGTAAAGGACTTGCTAGTGTTCCTACCCCACTGGCAAGTGGATTACACATAAATTATTCTCCCCGAACTAAGAACAAGTCATCTGAATAAAGACCACATAAAGCATTTATAACCTAGACTCACTATTCTTGTTCTTAACCTGAATCCTCTGACCCTAGAGAACACATCTTTGAAGAAGAGAAATTACAAAAAAGGTCTCATGACTCTACCTTCCCTCTAGTGGAGACCTCCTCGAATCCTCCCCTGCACTGCTGCCAGATGATCCTCTGAAATGAGAATCTACCTGTTAGTCTCCTGCTCAAGCCTTTGAATGGCTTGCTGTTGCCACAGAATCAAGTGAAAGCTCGTTAGCTTGTCATGCAACGTCCTCCTTAACCTGGTCTCTCTTGATCTTTCCTGCTTCCACTCCATCCCCACAACCAGTTTGGGTAGGGACCTCTGCCTGGTGCTCTGTAGTGCACTGTGCCTGCTTCTAACACAGCCTGATCACACTTCTCTGTATATGTGTATGAATTTCCTTCCGAGAAACTGAAGCAGGACTGGCCTCCTCAATTTCTTCTTAAGTTTTAGTATGTCTACTTTATGATTAGGAAATACCTTCATGTGGTTCACAATAAAAAAATATATAAAAGGGAGCTGGGGCGCAGTGGTTCACGCCTGTAATCCCAGCACTTTGGGAGGCTAAGGCAGACGGATCGCTTGAATCCAAGAGTTCAAGACCAGCCTGGGTAACATGGTGAAACCCTGTCTCTACAAAAAATACAAAAAATTAGCCAGGCATGGTGGTGCATGCCTGTAGTCTTGGCTACCCAGGAGGCCGAGGTGGGAGGATCACCTGAGTCCAGGAGGTTGAGGCTGCAGCATGCTGAGATTGTGCCACTGCAACTCCAGCACAGGGTCACAGTGAGAGCCTATCTTGAAAGAAAAAAATTTGAAACACACACACACACACACACACACACACACACACGTAAAAGGAATGCAGTGAAAACTCTCCTACCCCTATTTACTAGATATTCTATTTCCCTTCCAGGGGGAAACCAACTAATATTAACATTATTTTGTGTGTCTCTCTAAAGATATCTTATGCGAATGCGTGTGTATGTATTCTTTCTTTTGCCTTTCTAAACAAATGATAGTATATTTTTCATAACGCTCTGCACTCTGATTTTCTCCTCAATGTATCTTGGCAGTCTTTCTCAGTATATAGTGACTATCCTCATTTTTTAATCTTTATACCTCAATATCTGGCACATAGTAAGCAAATTATAAATGCTGAGTGAATGAAATATTGAATGAATAAAAAGGAAATTTTTGTGCTGCTATTGGAAATTAGCTCTCCTCTATACATTTCAACATGTTACGTATATACAACGATCTAAAAACTTGTCTTACTCTTTCCTATCCACTAGAGGGAGACATCAACCTGTTGTGGAAAAGAACGATCACGTAAAGTCTAGAAATTCTGAACCAACTCTCTAGCAGGTGATCCTTGTTAGAATTTGAGCCCTTAACTCTATCCAGGACTGGAGGCTGGAGGGACCATAAGGGGAGCAGGAGGAGAATGCACATGGATTAAGGAGCGAGAACACAGGTGAACTTCAGCTTTTTTGCTAACACTCAGACACACTACTTACCCTGACTCAGTGATGTGCTAGTAAAACAGTTCTTAAAAAAAAAAAAAAAAAAAAAAAAGACTTGGGTTGCTGATTTGTATGTAATCTTTATGAATTTCAGTAGAGAAAAAGACAAATATTCAAACTGAGCCATGGACTGAAAACAGGAGAACAGCCAAGATGTGTTCACTTCTATCAGTGCCCTGTGTTGCTTGAAAAAAGAAGCCGACCTGGGCACCCATGAGCTCCTTTCTGGCCAGGAGAAATCTGGAGTGTAGTTATTCCACCATGGCCAAATTCAAACCACTCAGGGTTTAATCACCAAATTGCAAATTCCTTGAATATTTAACAGTAGGCTCTCTTGGCTGGGTGAGGTGGTTCATGCTTATATTCCCAGCAGTTTGGGAGGCCAAGGAGGGAGGATTACCTGAGGTCAGGGGTTCGAGACCAGCCTGGCCAACATAGTGAAACCCCATTTCTACTAAAAATACTAAAAAGCTGGGCATGGTGGCAGGTTCTTGTGGTCCCAGCTACTTGGGAGGCTGAGGCAGGAGAATCGCTTGAACCCAGGAGGCAGAGGTTGCAGTGAGCCAAGATCGTGCCACTGCACTCCAGCCTGGGCAACAAGAGTGAAATTCCATCTCAAAAAAACAAAACAAAACAACAACAGTAGGTTCTCTTGAGCCAGCCTGAGCAGGCTCTTGCACGCTGCTGAAACTTGTTGGGTCTTAGTTACTTTTCCTATAAAGTGGGGATGATAAATCTGCTCATTATGTAGATTCTATTACACAGAGGACACATAAGTTCTTTGAATGCTTAAAGCAATGTTTCCTAAACTTCTTTGGTCATGAAATCACCCAGTGGCTTGTGTAAAATGAACATTCCCAGGACCTGCCCTACAGCACCTGGGTTAGAACATTTTGGGGGAGTGGGCTGGGAATCTGTATTTTAAATAAGTAACCCAGGTGAGGCTGGGCACGGTGGCTCACTCCTGTAATCCCAGCACTTTGGGAGGCTGAGGCGGGCAGATCACGAGGTCAGGAGATTGAGACCATCCTGGCTAACATGGTGAAACCTCATCTCTACTAAAAATACAAAAAATTAACCGGGTGTGGTGGCAGGCGCCTGTAGTCCCAGCTATTCAGGAGGCCAAGGCAGGAGAATGGTGTGAACCCGGGAGGCGGAGCTGGCAGTGAGAACGGCGTGAACCTGGGAGGCGGAGCTTGAGAGTATTAAAAAAGGACCCAGGTGACTCTTATGACCTAGTGAACTGGGAGAAACACTGCTGTAACTTACTCTTATAATTGGGTCAGGTGTCAGGGGGTCTTTCTCCAACTTCACAATTGGGCCTGCTTGAAGAGATGTATGCAGAGTTCTACAACACACTCCAGGCAAGCATTTAACCCCTTCACTATCTCCTCTACCCTCAGAGCTCAAACTTCCCAAAGAAGAAAACCTGCTCATTGCCATCTCTTAGGCCAAGGCATTTGTACACCTGGGAAATCCTTCAATCCAAGGATCTCTGGGTTGTTTTCAAGCTACTACTTATTGAGAATTTACAAAGCGTCAGGCACGTTACAACAATTTGTCATTTCTATGAAGTAGCTTCTTGTGCTGTTCCCATTTTACAGAGAAAAATCAAAGAAGTCGGGTAAACGTCCAAGGGCACACAACTAGCAAGTGTTTGGGCTGAAAACCCACCCCAGGTCCAAGGTTTGGAACTCCAAGCCTGGGTTCCATCCCTGCACTGGGCAATTCTGATCTGTGTGCGCTAGTTTCCTTGTGTTCTCTGTTCTCTCTGTAGGAATCCTGGGCTCTCTTTTCCCAACCAGAAGGTTAGGTTGAAAAACAGAGCAGATGGAGGTCGTTTGTAGCCTACAGCTGCCCTGAATGAAGCTTCTAGAGTGCTAAAGTGGAAGAACGAGGGACTCCAAGAGAAGGATTTAAGGATGGGCCCATGCACCTGTGGAATTCAGATGCTATGGCAGAGGAGATCAACACCCTCCAATTAGCCCTGGTAAGGAGCTTTGGGAGTTACTGTAACTGTCTCAGAGGAACCCAAACATGCAGGAACGTGACTTCTCACCTTCTGAAAGTCCACAAAATTCCTGATTGCCACCATTAATTTATCACTTATCATTTGTAACAGGCATTGCAGGTCATCTTATGCGTTTGTCTTCTCCCTTCAGCTGGTGTATAAAGTCTTAGGGAGACCAGCACTTCAGAGAGAATGGGCTTTGGCGTGAAACAGATCTGGTTTGAACCCTCTGCTACTTAATAGCTGTTGGGCAAGTTCCTTAAACTCTCTGAGTCTTTTTCTTCTCATCTGTAAAATGGAAACATAAGTAGTACCTACCTCATTGGATTGTTTTGAGGATAAAATGAAATAGTACAGGCAAAGGATTTACAAGCAACTGCTGAATGAACGGTAGTTATAGCCTCCTCCTCCTCATCTGTAAGCAAACACCCTCATATTTCCTGTGTCTCAGGTAGACACTTAAGGTATTGCAAGCATTAAGGAATGCATAAGGGCAAGAGGCAGTCTCAAAGAAGAGTGTTTTATGAAAGAATAAATAATGCTGAGTGTCAGAAAAAAAATTTTTTTAAAGACGAGGTCTCTGTCACCCAGGCTGAAGTGCAGTGGTGTGATCTTAGCTCACTGAAGCCTCAACCTCCCGGGATCAGGTGATCCTCCAGCCTCAGCCTCCCGAGTAGCTGGGACTACAGGTGCCACCACACCTGGTTAATTTTTGTATTTTTTGTAGAGATGGGTTTTCGCCATGTTGTCCAGGCTGGTCTTGAACTCCTGGGGTCAAGCGATCCTCTCGTCTTGGCCTCCCAAAGTGCCGGGATTGCAGGCACGAGCCACCACACCCAGCCTGTCAGAAAAATTTTAAGGTGAAAATAACTAAAGAAGTTGTTAAGAATTTTCTCCCTTGAGTGGTATTTTAGACTGAGATGAGAGAGGGTAGAGGTAGGATGGGAGGGAAGGGATGGGGTCCGGTTGAAAGGCCTATGAAATACCAGCAGTTTTGTAATATGGCGGACGTTGACAGCCTCAGTGCTAGGAACACAGAAACGGAACCTTTTGCAAGGAGGCAGGTGTACATTTATATACAAGTCAGATGACCTGTGTTTCTATGAGGGCAAATCTGGAAAACTCAAGTTTCCTTGTCAGTAAATTGGTGATAAAATCAACCTCATAGGGTTGGTGTGAACATGCAGCATGATGTGGCCATGCAAGTGCTTTGTTAACTAGAAGCCAATATGCTAGGACAGCAGGTCTCCTAGTAAGCTATGGCTGGTGGCTTGGTAGACTATGTGGAGCAGGCTGAGGAAGCACTTGATTTGAATATGAGCAGAACTATTAAGCTAGTTAGCTAAACTGCCTGGACAGTAGAAAAATAATACGTGAGGACGTAAAAGGAAGAGAAACAATGTGAGGGGAGAGGAGAATGCAGAGATTCTGGTCCATGGAACAGCATTGGAGATCCTTAAGTAGCTGCATGAACTACTTGGAGAAGTTCATTTTCTGATTATAATTCCCAGCAAAGGAGAGGACTGAATAAGAGAAAAGAAAACGATTCCTTTCTCTAGTTAGGTTCATCAGATCAAACAGTGATATATGTGAAAGAAGCACTTTCTATGCACAAAAAATCAGGTCTGTATTTTTATAAAAGCTACTTCTGGGTCGGGTGCGGTGGCTCACGCCTTTAATCCCAGCACTTTGGGAGGCTAAGGTGGGCGGATCACGAGGTCAGGAGATGGAGACCATCCTGGCTAACACGGTGAAACCCCGTCTCTACAAAAAAAATACAAAAAAATTAGCGGGGCCTGGTGGCGGGCGCCTGTAGTCCCAGCTACTCCGGAGGCTGAGGTGTGAGAACGGCGTGAACCTGGGAGGCGGAGCTTGCGGTGAGCCGAGACTGCACTCCAGCCTGGGCGACAGAGCGAGATTCCATCTCAAAAAAAAAAAAAAAAAAAAAGCCATTTCTGCAATGTGCGTCACTGGAGAGTTAGTTGCTATGGGTCTAAAGGACAATATGAGGCATTCATAGTAACTTTCCATGATATGAACAAAGAAATTGAAAATGTTAGATACATTTACAAGAAGATGTAGAAAAAACTCTAGTCAAAATTTTTGAAACATTTTTTGAAATATTAAACTCTATGGAGTCAGACAGTCTTATCTATGGTCTTAAGCCATGTCTGTCTATACCTTATTTCTTTTTTGATCTCATTTCAGGGAATATTACACTGGCTGACCTGTTATTAATATCTTCTTCTGAGCCAGAAAAGGTAAGGAAGCTGCATGTTCAGAATTGTATTTGAGTCATTTGTGAAATTGCATATTACAATTTGCTGCCATTTCTAACAGTCCTATAACTTTTTTTTTCTCTTAATTGGGTGTTCACATTCATGCCAATGACCTCTATGGGCTAGTTTCTCTTCTAGCTCAAGAGAATTGCTTCAGAGTTGGAAGTAAGGAAAAAAATGTGTATTCTTCATGTTTGATTTCAAATGCATAGAAAATTAGAAAGAAGTTATGCAAGAGATTTGTGTGGAATTTAAGTACCTTCAAGAGCCTGTGGACAGGACAAAAAGGTATTTTTTACCTGTTTGTTTACAAATAGCAAATATCAAGACTGAGACAAATAAGGGTGATTTAGAAAGAGTTGGCTGCAGGTGCTGGTTGCTCAAGTGGTTCATTTAAACTGCAGGTCAGAGTAACCTTGTCTCTTGGTCCTGGTGCCCAGGTATCAGGTTAGGTCTATCTTGCTGCTTATATCCTTGTTACCCTCTGAAGTCCCCAGTCCAATACAGATCACTAAAGAATAAGTTACATAAATATGCTCATAGGTGGTCATTCCTAGACAAGAAATTGACAACATTTCATTCAACAATATTTGGGCTCTACAGGACAGACATGCCTCCATTTATGCAACAAATAAGAAAAGCATCTCAGTAACAGCGGAGAAAACATGGGATGTGCAGGTAGGTAGGTAAAGTTGGATTGGAACTTTCACCCTACCAAATGCACGTGGGTGACTTATAAAAGAAATGTTAGCTCTCTGAGCCTCAGTTTTCCCATCCGTAAAATGGACAGTCCCAGGGAATTTACGAGGATTAAATGAAATAAAAGTGAATCAACCTATTCAAGCCTGCCTACTGTGGTGTCCAGGCTAGAAAGATGCTCAATAAATATTAGGTTTGTTTTTATTTCTACAAAAGATGTGATCCTAAAGAGCTCTATCCAAATTCAAGTTTCAAATATCAAATCACATTTTGTGAACTTTGATTTATGTTCAGTTGAGATGATCTCTGACATATTAATTAGTAATCCCATCTTTTTCATTCATCACCACCAAAAAAAGGTGTTATTGCAGGTTCAATTAATCTTTCCCCTTTCCTTTATTAATTCTGTAAGTGTAGGGTTTTATCTCTCAGATTCTCTTAAAATAGACCAATTTGTACCCACATAATATAAATAAGCTTGTTCCTATAATACTCTGGAGCAGATAAGAGTATCCCAGAACCCAAATCCTCCTACTTGACCTCAAGCTCAGAGAATAAAGCAAAAATTCAAAGGCACCCTTTGGCATGACACCCTTCTAGACATCTGTAGGGTTCCTCTTTCCCTCCATTTTTTGTATTAGCTTTTGCTTTCTTGCCTTTGACAGGGTTTTGTTTTGCCTCTTGGTAGTTTCTTTCCTATGGAAAATTCTCCCTGTTGTTTCCCTCTGATCTTTCCAAGTCAAAGCCTTCAGCAAACATTTGTTGAATGCCTGGATTGTGCTAGGTGGGTGTTATGGACCATGGAGAATGCTAGAGATATAAGACACGCACTGTTCAATTGCAGCGCACGCTGTGTTGACAGGTAAGATGAGGGCTGTGGAGGAGGCAATGTGCACATTCCACTGGGCTAATGTGCTCTTCACCTTATTCGGTCTCTTTGCTTTGGGATGTGTAAGACTTCACTAGATAGAGAAGGGGTGGGGTGAGAAGATGAGGAAGGGGCACCTTTATGGAGAAGCTTTCCTTCCTCTTCACAGCAAACCATACCTGTACTACATTGACTTCCTTTGCTTTCCCAGGTGACATCTAGCTCATCTTGCAAGCTCATCTTGTTAATCATAAATGCTAGCAAATTAATATTAACCATCATATATAACATGACTTAATTTTAACAGTTCAATGCTTTATCCCCAAAATATGACTTAATGGTGAAGATTTCAGTCCCCATTGTAGTCTATTTTGGAGACAGGCAGTCCTTTCAATGTCATATGTGGGTGCTTCCTTAGGCAGGTCAGGGGTGAGGTGGAAATGAGGCTGGGACCCTGCTCATTTATATAGCAGGCATCGTCTCAATACCAGGCTTCAGGGTGCTTTTTGGTCCAGCCATTGATATAAACTTCCTCAAGAATAATCCCTTCATCATTGTGGTCACAATTCAGGTAGAACTGGAATAATCAGCCTCTCCCTCTGCATTAAACCAGGCAAAGTTTCCATCCCTGGGTACCATTGTCTTTCTTGACGGACAGGGTGAGTCAGAAGGAAACGTACTCACTCCCATTCATTTTCTGCTTATTATTTCCTGCAGTGAGGTTTCCTTGTATAATAAACAGCTTCTGTGGGTGTTTGAGCTGCTCTAAAAAGAGAACATGCTGTTCCTGTGTGTAGAATGCTTTCTGAAGGAAGCATCACAGTGAACACAGAGCAGAAGCTTGGCTCACAGGTGGCAGGAGTTTGTCTGCAGTGTTCTGCGTAGAGCAGAGAGTCAAGCCATCTTCATTTCTGATTGATTGCAGGCATGGTATGGAGGTAAACGGGTCCTTGGCCTCTCTCCTGGATTCAAGTCCTTCTTAGCCTCTGATAGGTCATGTGACCATAGGGAGGTTGTTTAACCTTCCTGAACATTCATTTTCTCAAGTATAAAATGGGGATAATAGAATTTGCCTTATAGGCTTGCATATAAAATAAGAATTATTGACAGAAAGCGGGGCATAAATGTCCAGTAAGTGGTAGCTGTCTATGAAGCCACTGTTGTTACTGGGTTCCTTTTTCACTATGTGGCTTCAGGTAGCTGATAGAAGCTCTGTGAGCCTCAATTTCTTCACCTGAAAAGTGGAGTCAATATCTCACTGAGCTGGTGTGAGGATTAAATGAGATGCTGTGCAAGTGTTTAGCACAGCATCAGGTATGATGTTAATATTGATAGATGCATTTTATTCACCCTCACCCATCTTTTTCTGCCTGTTGGCTTATGGTTGAAATTCCTTCATGACGGTTTCCATTTCCAGAGATATATTGTTAACAAATGAAACTGATTTGTTTTTTTTTTTTCCATGTCTGTCTTTCCCTTGTTTCTTTTTTGATCTCATTTCAGGGAATATCTGGAATGCAGTAGCGCGATCTTGGCTCACTGCAACCTCCGCCTCCCAGATTCAAGCGATTCTCCTGCATCAGCCTCCTGAGTAGCTGGGATTACAGGTGCATACCACCACATCCAGCTAATTTTTGTATTTTTAGTAGAGATGAGGTTTCACCATGTTGGTCAGGCTGGTCTTGAACTCCTGACCTCGTGATCCACCTGCCTCAGCCTCCCAAAGTGCTGAGATTACAGGTGTGAGCCACCATGCCTGGCCATGAAGCCGATTTTTTTAAACCATCATTTAACATTTTCTCCATAAGGTGGCAATGAGGAGGAGTATATGGGAACTGGGTACCTTGAGAGACCCCAGGACAGGGGACAGGGAGGCTGAGGTTGGCATGTTGTCCACTGCATTTATTTGCCAGTGACACACTCTTCCTGTCCAAACTAACTTCTCTGCCTCAAGGACCGGGAGACTCTGCCTTTCAACCTGAGAGAAACCAGGTCAGCTTTAATGAAAATTGGAGTTGGTGTGGGGCAGTGGAGACTTTTCACAGCTATTGTTTCGCTGATGAAGCAGGTGCTTCTCCATCTTTGGAGTCTGTCTTCATTACCTGTGGACCTCATCCTTATCAACCCGGAGCACACTTGTGTCTATTTTGGCTAAACACCAAACAGTTGAGGCTGGTACTGTAAAAGGTTCCCTCCAAATGCCCCCTTGGCCTTCCTCTGTTAGAGATCTGGATCACAACCCTCAAAAACCATGTCCCTTATGCCACCTGAGTAGATGGTTTGATGATTAATTAGGCACAGATGTGACACTGGGTTCTCGCAATGGCCTGTGGGTCACATGTTACTTTCCTTTTCATTTTCATCAGCAGCAGCTGCCTTAAAGCCAGTTAAGATGGTGGTCGCAGTCTCACACCCTGGGGCTCCTCCTGGGTTGGGTGAGGGGAACACCCAGTTAAGTTGGGGGAACTGGGGCGGCCACCAGGAGGCGCGAGGGGCCTTCGCCCGAGGAGAGGGGTGGGCAGGTACCTCCAGCCGAGAAGGGCGCAGCGGCCGGAGGCACAGGTCTCCCCAGTGCCACTTCCACCGAGTTCGAGGAAGTACCTGGGATCTTTGATCTAACGCGAAAGGCCTTCCTAGCGAGCTCTTGAGAGCTGAGAACCCACGCCCTCCACCTCTAGTCCACGGCTTTGCCACTCCAGGACCCGAAGTTAACGTTTGCTGCTGGGGATTTGACAAACCCAAAGCCTCTCTGGTTTCACCACTGGCACCTTAGAATCAGACTTCTGTACTGAATGACACTTATGTGAGTGAGGGGCTGGGAGACGTGATCCTCGAAGTGTGGTCCCCAGACTGGCTGTATCAGTGTCGGCATCCCGCAGGACCTGGTTGGAAATGCATGTTCTAAGGCCCTACTACAGACCTCTTAAATCTGAGACTGGGGCTGCGGGGAGCGCCATCTGTGCGCCACTATCCTTGGGGGTGGACCAGGAGGCGGCTCGAGGGTGCTCCCACTTTGGGGTCACGCGCGGCGCCGGGCGCTCCTGAGACCGCCGGGCTCCCAGGCTCGGTGGTCACGTGGGCTCAGGCACTACTCCCCTCTACCCTCCTCTCGGTCTTTAAAAGGAAGAAAGGGCTTATCGTTTAGTCGCTTGTGATCTTTTCAGTTTCTCCAGCTGCTGGCTTTTTGGACACCCACTCCCCCGCCCGGAGGCAGTTGCAAGCGCCGTGGCTGCGAGAAATAACTGCCTCTTGAAACTTGCAGGGCGGAGAGCAGGCGGCGAGCGCTGGGCCGGGGAGGGACCACCCGAGCTGCGACGGGCCCCGGGGCTGCGGGGCAGGGCTGGCGCCCGGAGCCTGGGCTGCAGGAGCTGCGCTCGCTTTCCTCAACAGGTGGCCGCGGGGCGCGCGCCGGGAG